TGAATATTAAGTTTATCAAAAAAGTCTCTTAATTCTTCAGGAAATCTCAGGTATGCAGTAACTCCATTCTTCCATCCGATTAGACACATCGAACTATTCCATCTATATTGTATATTCTGTTTTTTCATCTGTTCTATTAGTGGTCTCAATGATCTTTTTCTCCATAATGTCTCAGGTGTCAAATCTGCAAAAATTTGTAAATTTTTTCCTTCATACTCAATACTAGCTCTTCCTTTTATCTTCTTCCATACTTCTTCTCTCTCTCCTTTTTTATTAAAATGTACCACTACATCTCTCGGTCTCTCTTCCACCCGATCTCGCTGAAACCTTCCCATCCTATATATATTGTCCAATACATGTCTCAGTTCTAGGTCTACCCATGATGGAGATTAGAATTTTTTGTATTATCTCTCTTAAATCTTCTTCTTGTGCAAGCTCCGGAATTCCCTTTATCCTGAGGTTATTTTTCCTATGCATATTACCTTGTATCTCTAACTTATATCCCAGCTTTTTCTGTTCTTGCCTAATCTCCATTATATAATTTCTCAGTTCAGGAATGGCTTGAGCATGTTTTTTAATTTTTTCTTCTGTTTCTTCTACTCTGGACAAAAGATGACCCAAGTCTTTCCGAATAATTCCCATCTCCTGTTTAATTGATATTTCCAAGTTTCCAAACATTTTCTGCCATCTCCTTTTTATTTGGGATTTGTAGTTCTCCTTCATTTTCTCTTAGATCTATTCCTCCAATTATTTGTTGGCTACTATTATCCATTTCCACAGGAGACCTGGCGCTCTTATCCATGCTATTTTCCATTATACTTTTTTCACCTACCCCTTGAGTTCTTTCTGGGGTCACATTACCTTGAGACGTAAATTTTCTAATTGTTCCAGATTGGGAATGCTTGGCACCACTCCCTTTGCTATTTTTACTCTTCATGTTTTCTATATGTGTCCACACCCTCTTCTTTAAAACTTTAGGGTATATGCTGTAATGGGTCTTTTGAAGAGGTTCTAATTTATTCACTGTGCTTGGTGTTCCCCCTCTATGTATACTTCTCCTGCTGCATCAATAAACTGTCCATAATAACAGATTTTATATATAGTCCAGCCACTCTCACTCACCCTCTCTTAGTTGCTTTTCCTGGGAGATTGTCCTTTGGGATCTCTGCCTTCTGTTCTGGCACCATTCCTCTTCCCCTCAATTGAAGGAGGGGGGGGGGGGTTCTCTCCAGGTCTCCTTCTTTCTCCTCCGTCTACCTCTCTCACTGGTATCCGGCACACAAACTCTCCTCTCTCCCAAGCTGGCGTCTTCTCCAACTCCTCTGGGGATCTGTCAGTTCTCTCCCCTTCTCCTCTCACCGAGCCGGTACGCTGAGCCAGGTCCACGTGTCTCATCCGTGAGAGAGCCGGCGTCTCCCCCTGAATCGGGAAGGTAACCGGCTTCACTGTCTCCCAGAGCTCCCTTGCGGGAGATCACGTGACCGCCCCGCGTCACCTGCACTCCCAGCAGCCTTGGGAGGGAGGTTTCAACCGCCCCGTAGTCACGGACTCCTGCAGCTCCGTCCTCTCAGATTCTCTTCGGGAACCCCTCTCACCCGTAAGTTCTCAGCCGGGTGCCTTCGCAGCATTAGTCGGGGAACATTAGGGGAGGGAGGGTGGCCCATCCTACGAGAGAGCGCTCACATCGCCCTCTCTCTCCTCAACAATGCCACTCTCAGCTGCACCCTGCACAAAGATTGTCCAGCTCACTGGAACACAATCTATGTGCCAACAGCCTGAGAGCGATTGTTACTGGGTCAGGTTAATTACGCAATTAACCCTTCACACTGCCACCACCACCTTTTTACAGAGAAGGAGGAAACTCACAAATGTTAGCAGTAACACTATGATGTTTAAATAAGCGTCTGTATACACACTGTCACCGCAGACAGATGTATCCAGAGGTTTTAAAAACACACAGTAGCACTCTTCAGAGACAGGGATTCTTAGTTTGCATTAAAGAGCTTTAGAAACAGTTCAACACTTTTCAGAAAATAGGACTTATTACTAAAAAGGTCAAAATGGTGCAATAAAAATATTTACAGAAAAGATGTAACATTATATATCTATCTATATATCTATATCTATCTATATATAAATAAAGAGAGAGAGAGAGAGAGAGAGAGCCCAATAACACAACAGAGAAATAACAGAAAGAAGTTTAAGAAGGTAGGATGCCTGCAGAAGTCCTTGGTTTAAGAAGAGTTCAAGTGTCCTGAACAGAAAGGTTGCCTTTTCTCCCAAAGATGGCTCCTGATGTTAAAAGCAAGAATCTCTTCAACTTCCTCTCCAGGCATGACAGCCTTTTTTCTAGGAACCCAGCAGGGTGTCTCCTTAAAAGCAGAGAACCGATCGCCTCATTTGGGGAGGGGAACCCCTTGCATTGCAGCTCATTGCAGTCACTTATAAACACAGAAGCGCGGCTTCAGTATTTTATAAGGGACAGTGATTCGGCAGCACAGTCAAAACCCTCTCTTCTCTCCCTGTATATACAACAGAGGAGGGGGAGGGGCAGAACGAGGAGGGGGCAGGATGGGACTTGATTGAGCGGGGCACACAGCTGTAGCCTCGCACCCGCAGCATCATCAGAACCCCACGCTTCCAGCGTGATCTCCTCCTGTACGTGACAGTACATTGTTTTCTGTGGTGGAGTGGAGCGCGGTGTACCGACAGGGAGAAGAGGGGGAGAGCAGCACTCTGTACTAGACAGGGAGAAGAGAACTCTGCACTGAGGGAGCAGGCAGAAATTTGAAGGTGAGCTCTGGGGGGGGGGGCACACTCCTGAATGCACACTCCTGAATGCTGTACGTAGCACACTCCTGATCCCTGCACTCTGAATGCAGCACACTCCTGATCCCTGAACTGCAGCACACTCCTGATCCCTGAACTGTGTATGCAGCACACTCCTGGGCCCTGAACTGGAGGGTCCTCCACTCTATACACTGCCCACTCTGTACATAGCGCACTCCTGGACCTTGGCCCCTGTATACTGCACGCTCTGTACACTGCGCACTCCTCAAACCTGCAATCTGTTCATAACACAAAGCTGAATTCTGCACTTTGTTTGTAGCACACTCCTCAGTTCTACACTCTTATCAGCACACTGCTAAAACCGTGCACTCCAACTGTAACACTCTTCTCAACTTCACACTCTGTACACAGGGAACCGCTGAATTCTTTTTTTGGGTTATACACTGCTGAATCCTGCATTCGGTATGTCACGCACTCCTGAACTCTGCATTCTGTATGCAGCACACTGGGGGGGTGTAGTAATGATGTTGATGGCGAGTGGTGGGACGGGGGCGTGATAGTTTCTGCACCTATTTTCTGAGAAAAAAAGCCCTGTAGCCTCATTTACACTTATATTTGTTACTGCTCCCCTTTCTACTGGATGCACTTGAAAACAAAGATGCATTCTGTTTTGAGACGGGGAGGGATCAAGGGTGTGGCCAAGGGCAGGACCGGGGGGAGGGAGGGGTCAAAGGGGGCTCCATCAGGTAGGCTGTATGGGGCTCCATGATTCCTAACAGTGGCCCCGCTCACACCTGTAAACCCCCTATGCGCCTGAGCAATTTTTACACACATTTCTGCTAAGGGCCTAATGATTCAGCTATAACGTTATCAAAGTAATAGATATATTGGTTTCTTTTAAGACAAACAAGGATTTCTTTTGGAGATACTATCTTGCAAAACTTAATTTGATGTACTAAAACCCCCCAAAAAAAAAAAATATTGTTACTGTAGATAAAATATATACATTATTTGATATTTTTTACTTTTCAAATTGCAATAAAATTATAATTTTAGTACAAAGCATTGCAATGTTATTACAAATTAGGCTTTTTTTCGCCCAAATTTTGTAACATTTTTTTCTTTATGCCGAATTCCTTTTAAATCTCCCAAGTTCTGCTTTAAATATTAATGGTTGGAAAAATAGAAAAAACAAAAATAAATCCTCCTCAGGAAAATAATTAAGGAGAAGATGAAGTGAATAAGGGTGATAAGGGTAAACTAGGGGTTAAGAAAGGTTTAAAGGGAAACAAAATTATTATTTTTTTTTATTTGCTTTAAAAATTAATAAAATATTTTGTGTTTATTTATACCTACAGGTAAAGCCTATAATAAGGCTTACCTGTAGGTACAGTAAATATCGTTTAGGAGATATTTACTGTAGGAGATATTTAATGTAGGAGATATTTAATGTAGCCGCGCGCCGGTGATGTTATGCATGCTGGTAATGTCAGTGTGCTGTCCATTGAGAGAGCCGTGCCGCGGCCGTGACTCTCACGCACATATGCAGGAGTGAGGTCATCAAGACTTGGGCAGTCAAACCCAGAAGGAAGACCAAGTGAAGATGGAAGCCCCGGGGAGTCATGACAGCACACCACTGGAGGGCTTTGTTTTCAGGTAAGTCTTTTATAATCTGCTAATATGTGATGCATACTAACACATTATGCTCTTGCATGGAGAAGATTATTTTATTCTATTTTTTGCAGTTTACTACCACTTTAACTGGCATATGCAGATTGATGTTCATCCCTTTGATCAGCAGATAACTGAAAAAGAAAGTTCTTTTGACAGCAAAATATCCGAGAGCTGATGTAGTTACCCAGCTAGTCAATTTTTACGGCTGGAAGTTGCCAGCAAGTATGAGGGGGTAGGGCAAAGGACTGATGTCATGTGTATTTCGATTACATTTTTTGGGGGGCTTAAGTAGAACACCCAGGGTCCCCATCTGATTAATCTTGGTTTGTATTAAAACTGTTAGAATTCTTTTACGTCTGCTTTGCTGGGAGCAGATTTGCGCACTGGAGATATTTACAGCGCTACATTTTAATGTATGAAAACACACAGAAGAAATACTTAGCCATGAGCAGGGCCTTATATTCTAACAAACTGCAGAGTTCTGTAAAGAAAGGTACAACGTATCATGCAACAGGAGAAACACGTGCATAGCTTACCTCTATGTTATATTCTTCACCATCTGCTGTGATCCGTGCTGTAAAATCACCATCTCCTATGTGTGCTAAAACCTTTGAATTGTGTTCCCCTGCAGGGAATAAAAAGGGGTTAGCTGATTATCAAAACTACAGATGCACACAGACATACCCAAGGCAGTTTTCAGACAGAAAAACAAAGCGTAATAATACAAACACCAGCTGAGCACAAGTAAAGGTTCTGATGCAAAAAAAGAAAATACTGCAGGAAATTTTGAGCAGAAAAGGAAAATAAATAGTACACAGGTCAGTCTCACACCTGTACTTAAAAACAATTTTGATTAAAAACAAAGTCATAATTACACTTTTCTGGTGGTATGGCCCTTTTAACATGGCCTGCATCTAATTCAAGATAGCTGTGCCCCAGTTTTGGTACCAGTACCGACATGTACACCAGATTCAGGTAGTTTTAACACAGTTATAGTTAGCAACTTCTAAAACCTATTGCCATGCCTGCAAAAGATTCTAGTAAAATTAGCATCAGTTTCTTAATCTGCAAATAATTAAAGCGGATTTAAACCTCCATCAAACTTTTTTTTCCTCTTACATTGGGCCCTAGAAACTTTTAGCCATAATATGCTAGTATGCACAGTCTGCTAGTTTGCTCTCATTGGTCACTCGCTGCCATATTCTCCCGGTTTTCCTTCTGTGTTCTGATTCTTCGGCTGCTTGGTTGACCAGGCCACAAAAACATCACTCCCGCACATTGGAGTAACACAGTACATAGCATTGTCATATATGTAGGCCAAGCTGTACTTGCCCGGTGTACATAAGCACTGACATACAAGGAGAAGGGTTTATGACAGAAGAGCTCAATAGGGTGTCTTCTGTCACAAAAATCCTACCTTTGAGGGTTTCTGATTGAAAATGCTCATCAGCCATTGACTCACCCCCAGCCCCATATAGTTGCCAGCCAGGAGATTCACTGGCCAACTGCTGAAAGTAAATAAAGGGGTGGGATGCTGGTTAACATCACTGTCCAAATACGGCTATAGCCATATTTGGGTAATGACATCAGTTGGCTGAATGGGGACGGGAATAAATCATTTATTGCTATGATGTTATTAGCTGCACAGCTGACAGCATCCTAGCTAACAAGGGCTACAGATACAAGTATGATATCGTGTCCACAATATGGACACTTTGGCCTCAGTGCTGCCCCTCTCCACGAGACAGATTCCTATTCTTGTTTCCGGCAGGCACAAGAATGTTTTGCCTGCATTAACATATTTCATATGGAGGTGTGAAGGAAATTCTAAAGAATGTCTACTACACTCTATGACTGCCCCAGATTATGTTTGAATGTTATGATGGATGGAAAATGTAAAATATTAAAAAAAAAAAAAAAAAAAAGCTCCTGAATAAGACACATAATATAATGCTAGTCTAAACTAAGAATAAAAATCTCATCCTATGATGCATTCTACATAGGCTGTGCAGTCAAGTAGCATGATGCAATGAAGGTGGGGGAATGAGACTGAACACTGGAGTTCCTGTTAACAATATTGTGCTGCGTTAGCACATGCACATTATGCTGCCTGTAAAACTGCCCATTCATTCAAATGGGCTGCCAAAACGCACGAAAAATGATGCATATCCTATTTTTTTTGTAACACATGCTAGTAAGCTGCCATACGTTGTGCGGGCTTTCATGTGTACAAGCAGGCTTTCATGTGTTTTGCACTAAGGAAAGGCTTCCATCTAGCCACTGTTATAAAGCTCAGATCGGTGGACGGCTGCAGTGATGGTCCCAGCAACAATCAAGAGAAAGGGGAGGTACCGGAGCTAAATTTCAAGCGTTTTTGCAAAGGGTCTGAATACTTTTGCCAATGTGACATTTCAGTTTTTTATTTTTAATAAATTCACAGACATTTCTAAAATTCTGTTTTCACTTCGTTATTATGGAGTACTGAGTGCAGATAATTGAGAGAGAAAAAAAAAAACCACACACAACTGCAGTATCAGGTTGCAACAAAACAACATTGAAAAAAGTGAAGGGGATCCAATAAAATACATAAGCACCTGCTCATTTCAATTTCATGTCATTGTTTCATTTTTAGAAAGAAAGAAAAGTCCTGTGTCAATGACTGCACTTCACATACTAGATCATATATTTTGCAGTCGCGTCTTTGTCTATACTTGGTATAGCAAAAAGGAAAATATTCAACATTACCTCCTGGAGAGAACATCTCTAGTCCTTGCATAAGAGAAAAAATACAACACTGGGGGTAAATACCAGACAAGTGGTTGCATTCACAGCATTCACAGTATTCTCCATCAACTGTGATATTGGGTCAAGATATATTTCAAGTATCAACCCTCTTAAAACTCATATTCTACGTTTATTCTGTGGAAGGATAAAACCTGCCATCATGAACAGATGGAAAGGAGTGCTGTTATTTATTTTTTTTTATCATGTTTATGTGCCATAAGAGGTAATATCCTCTTGTTTTGCTTTGGAACAGTCAAGTTTGCATAAGAGAAGGTAGGACAGAGTCACGATTTTTAGTAGAGTAATCTTCCTGCTGGAGTTTCTTAGACATACAACAAACAAGCAGGCAACTATACAGTACCCATGGGACTCTACCAATTATCAGCTAAAAGAGTAGACTAACAGTTTAAAGAAAAAAAAGCAGTAATGTGTATTTTTAAGGATCAAAATTTCCACTCCTAGGCTTCATTCACACTGGTATTCCTGTTTTTTAGCTTTTTAAAACATCAGAGAAGTTATCTGGAAGTATAAACAATTTCTACTCGTCCCCTTTTCTTGCATTTAGGCTTTCGAAACACAGGAGAAGTCATCTTGGATGTATAAACCATTTTTACTCCTCCCCTTTTCCTGTGTTTAAATGTTCCTACAAACGTCTTATAATGTTCCTAGAAATGGATACAAACACAGGTGTGACAGGGTCAGTATGAATGAAGCCTTAACAGTTTATAAAAGGTATGGTTTTACCTCCCAGGGATAGGTGTGTGATGATATTTACCGTATTTTTCGCTCCATAAGACGCACTTTTTTCCCCCCAAAAAAGGGGGGAAAACGTCAGTGCGTCTTATGGAGCGAATATAAAGCGGCCGGTCTGGTATTTCTGCCGCCACCATGTCAGAATACCGGGTCGGCCGCTCAGCTGTTCTCTCCTGCAAGGCCTTACCTGTTCCTCGCTCCAGCGCTGCACAGTCTTCCCGCGCTGGCTTCTGTGACAGCCGGGTGCCCACTGCGCATGCGCTGCGCTTTGTGAATGGTCCAGTGTTTTCTGGGACACATGACAGGTCCCAGAAGGCGCCGGGCCATTCACAAAGCGCAGCGCTTCTCGCGCATGCGCAGTGAGCACCCGGCTGTCACAGAAGCCGGCGCGGGAAGAAGAGAGAAAGACAACGCCGCGGAAGTGGGAGCGGGTACCTGTCAAATTCAGGTACCCGCTCCCCCTCCCTCCCCAAAGGTCTGCAGTCTTTGGTCATCCCCTGCACTGTCTGCAGTCTCTGGTCATCTGTACTGTGTACCTGGTATTTTCCCTGTACTGTGTCCGCAGTCTCTGGTCGTCTCCTGTACTGTGTCCGCAGTCTCTGGTCGTCTCCTGTACTGTGTCGCAGTCTCTGGTCGTCTCTGTACTGTGTCCTGTACTGGTCGTCTCCTGTACTGTGTCCGCAGTCTCTGGTCGTCTCCTGTACTGGTCCGCAGTCTCTGGTCGTCTCCTGTACTGTGTCCGCAGTCTCCGTCTCCTGTACTGTGTCCGCAGTCTCTGGTCGTCTCCTGTACTGTGTCCGCAGTCTCTGGTCGTCTCCTGTACTGTGTCCGCAGTCTCTGGTCGTCTCCTGTGTACTGTGTCCGCAGTCTCTGGTCGTCTCCTGTACTGTGTCCGCAGTCTCTGGTCGTCTCCTGTACTGTGTCCGCAGTCCGCAGTCTCCTGTACTGTGTGGTCTGGTCGTCTCCTGTACTGTGTCCGCAGTCTCTGGTCGTCTCCTGTACTGTGTCCGCAGTCTCTGGTCGTCTCCTGTACTGTGTCCGCAGTCTCTGGTCGTCTCCTGTACTGTGTCCGCAGTCTCTGGTCGTCTCCTGTACTGTGTCCGCAGTCTCTGGTCGTCTCCTGTACTGTGTCCGCAGTCTCTGGTGTCTCCTGTACAGTCTCTGGTCATCTCCTGTACTGTGTCTCTGGTCATCTCCTGTACTGTGTCCGCAGTCTCTGGTCATTCCCTGTACTATGTCTGCAGTCCATTGGTTCAGAATATTTTTTCTTCTTGTTTTTCGCCTCTAAAACCTAGGTGCGTCTTATGGTCAGGTGCGTCTTATGGAGCGAAAAATACGGTAGTTGTATTTTCTTCCTGTTACAGCAGAGCAGCGGAGATGCAGCTTCCCTATCACTCAGTGACTGTATATTTTACAGTTCTGGTGGGTGAAATGTTTGGAGAACACTCTCCTAAAAAGAAACTCAAGGTAAAGATACTAACCAACGACATGGCCAATGAAGAAGTCTGATCGCTTTTATAGGATAATCTTTCCCTTTGCCATTACCATCCAGCACCACTGCTTTCAAGTTTTCCGAGAGATGATCTGCATCAGCTGTTAGGTAGAGCTGAAAATGCCTGTGAAGAATTCAAAAAGAATAACAGGATAGTCAAAACACAGACAGAAACAAAAAACTGGATTTCACATTACAGAGCATTGTAAAAATTTCTGCCTGCACCTTATTTTTTTCACCTGCATAAAATGAGCATTGATTAGGTAGTTTCATGGTGTCATTTGTTGCCTATAGTCTATAGTAAATCATCCCATGGATGAGTCCTTTTTCTTTTGTTCAACCAGTTGGTTGAACAATAAAACTGCCCCAATGCCCCCATCCACACATTCGAGGTGGATGGGGGAAATCCTCCCTGCTGTGTCTTTGTACTCTGACAGCCTTGGAAATTTTCCAATAGGGAAGCTGAACAGCAGTCGATCGGTAAATCAACTTCTGTTCAAGGCTGGTTCACACCACACCCGCATCTGAATCGCACAGGAACGCAATTCAAACTGCGTGCAAAACATGCTAAATTGGCTATCTGTAGTGAGTGTCAATAAAAAGTTAATAGCACCCCAAGCGCAGGCATGGTGTGAACCAGCCCTCAATCACAGTGGCCATACATGGATCGAAATTCGTCCAGTCCCTGCTGGACCAGCAGAATTTCAATCCATGTATGACCAGCTTAAAAAGTTTCAGCTAAAGCAACACATGGGGAATTGATCAGCCATGACACTACAAACTGCAGTCACAACATGTGAGCCCATCACTACAAAGTAAGGCAGAGAGACACAGGGAACAACTGCAAAAATAGTTAAAATAATGAAAAAAATTTGAAAGTGTGCAATATCTTTAAAGTCTGATTTTACATTACAGGAGACCTCCATTTACAGCCAGAACCATTTTCTCACACGTTAAAAAATCATTTTAGACCTAAAGATCATGTAAAATCCCTAGAAGGTTATATATTTTCTGAAAGCAGACATCCTAAGAAATAAAATAGTGGTAGGTCCAATTTTGTATGTCACAGGATATTAGCAAAACAGTTTATGAAAACACAAAATCTCAGTAAAAAAAAAAAAGAAAAAAAAAAAAAAAAAAAAAAAAATTATATATATATATATCACTAATAGTTAGGCCCCTTTCACAAGGCGCTCCGTTTTTTTTTTCATTGCAGTCATTTTTTTCCAAGAACAAAAAAAAAAAAAAAAACAGATCAGTTCACATCAGTTTTTTTGTCCTTTTTATACCATCCGTTTTTCATTCGTTTTTTGATTTAAGAAGAAAAATAGGGTTTTCTTTTCAAAAAAAAGAAACTCATGTTTTTAACAGGAAAGCAACACATGGGGAATGATCATCCATGTTTACATCCCAACATGTAGTCTCGTAGAAATACAGTTTAGCATCCAGCAAAAATAGAATGCATTTAAAATAATCAAAAAGTATTCACAGCGCTAACTTTTGTCACATTTTGTTATGTTACAGGAGCCTTATTCCAAAATGAATTAAAATTCAACATTCTCAAACAATACCCCATAACGACGTGAAAGAAGTTTTGTTTTTTGAAATATTTGCAATTTATACAAAATAATAATGTGAAAGTATTCACAGACTTTGCTCAATACTTTGTTGAATCACCTTTAGCGCCAATTACAGCCTCAAGTCATTTTGGAGTATGATTCTACAAGCTTGGCACACCTATTTTTGGGCAATTTCTCCCATTCTTCTTTGCAGTACCTCCCAAGCTCCAACAGGTTGGATGGGGAGCGTCGGGGCACAGCCATTTTTAAATCTCTCCAGAGATGTTCAATCGGGTTCAAGTCTGGGCCACTCCAGAACATTCACAGAGTTGGTCCTTAGCCACGCCTTTGTTATGTGGGCTGTGTGCTTAGAGTCGTTATCCTGATGAAAGATGAACCGTCACCCCATTCTAAAGTCCAGAGCGCTCTGGAACAGGTTTTCATCAAGGATGTCTCTGTACATTGCTGCATTCATCTTTCCCTCGATCCTGACTAGTCTCCCAGTACCTGTAGGATTTGTTCAGCTCGGTGTATCACCTGAGGCCACTCACTTCATTGGGTATATGTAAGGGTTTACAACTATAGGTTAGGCAGATCACAACACATATGCTCTAGGAAGACACTGCAAGGCAACATAGCCATCCAGTAAGCAGGACTAAAGTACACAGAATCTTCATTGGCTCATCATGCTACAAAGAACGTCTGTATACAAAGGACCAAGGAAACAAGCAATAAACATTAAAGTAGTTGGAAAACTCAGACATGAAATATGAGCATATATTCTATAGTGTGTACTTGTCTAAATTACAACCACCAAGTGTCATTTCTGTCTACTGCTTTGTTCCTCTGATATCTACATGATTAACATCTGACAAATTTTCCTGACCCCAAGAAAAAAAAAAAAAGTGACAGGGGAGGGACCGCCAGCACATAGCCTGTTATTGTCAGCCTCAGCTCTATTCCTGTGTCCCTTTCCTCAAATCAGCTCTCAGAACTGTCCTCACTGAGTGTAAACTTCGGCTCCCCACCCCTGCTTTCTGAAAGTTCAGACAAGCTGTATACATTCTGGACTTTAAAAACAGATGTAGAGAAGAGTATATTGCAGATAGACAGGTACAACTTATGTTAGAGGATTTGTTTTCATCTCTGCGTATCACCTGAGGCCAGTCACTTCACTGGGTATATGTAAGGGTTTACAACCACTTTAAGTGTGCCAATCCTTTTATTTTCTTCTATGGAGGGTTTATTAACACTTTAACTAAAGAAACTGAAACCTCAAAAAGATTCTCATCAGAAACTCATAGAAAAGCCTACGTTATGGCATACACGTTGTTGAGCATTTTTGAATGCTTTGCCTTTGGTAAAAGTAATGCAACATTCCCATGTGATTTCTATCTTCTTTAGGCCACGTTCACACCATAAGTGCAGAAAAAGTGATGGAGACTGACGCACAGATTTCACTTGAGGAGACATCAGTTTACATCAGTTTTCATGCGCACTCCAACGAGTTTTATACACGTTGCAGATTCCTGCACAGAAACAAATCTGCAAGTGATACTAATGTTGTGGTGTGCACAGGGCACATGAAAAATAATTGATTTTGTTGTGCCCTTGCAGAACTCATTCAGAAAGACATAGGTCTCTACACCATGGTGTGAATGGGCCCTTAAACTAAAAGTGTAGTAAGTGTGCTTTCACAATGTAAGGTGCTGGTGAAAAAGAAGCCTCGCTGGAACGTCTTACCGGGTTTACTATATTTGCTACAGACATTACCGGCCAAACTTCCACCCAGTTTCTTAGGAGATCTATGGGTCAGGTTCTATTCCTATCTCTGGAAGAATCAACAGAATTACCCTGTCTCTGCCAAAGCAGCTGGGAGGAATAGGCTTCTCAGACCCAGTTAAATACCACACTGTGGTCCACATGTCCAGACTTTAGGACTGGTGCCCCCAAAAGAGTGGTAAACCCTGGACAGATCTCAAACAAGCTAGCACTGCCGTCTTCCTGGAGGGTTTGCCTTGGGCATATATAAATCTATATATAATAATAATATATAAATCCTATATAATAATAATAATATTATAAGGTCATGTCATGGTGTTATAGGACCCCCCCCAATTACTACATAAAATCAATCCCTGGAAATCCTCTCTGCTGGAGATGCATTTGAAAGGAAGGCACTTTACTCCACATATTCTGGTATTGTCAGGTCCTATAGGTCTTTGGACTGCAGCGCTAACAAAAATACACAAGGTGACGAACGTGTCTCTTGCAGGAGATCTGGTGGCATATTTACTCCACATTACCATGTCCATCAAACATTACAAAAACTCTCCTAAAACATCTGCTTAATGCAGCTAAGGCATGTATACGTGCCAGTAGAAGAAATCTTCTCAACCTACTATTGCACACTGGCTGGATAGTGTAGCTGACATACAGTTGATGGAGCAGCTGCCAGCCGATGTCAAAGAACAAATGGAAAAAACATTTTAAAATCTGGAGCTCCTGGTTTATCTACAGGGACTCTGGGCCCTCAGGAACGAGTTGGCAGATAGCTTCCGGGATGGGAGACTGCGGAAGCTATACCTCATCTCCCCCTACCCCTTTTATTCCCCTCTATTTCCCTGCCCTCTTCCTAATCTGTTTTCCTCTAAATGTCCATACCCTTTCCCCCCCCCCACCAGAAAACAGAGTCAGAGCAGTGATTGCACTTGAATATGTGACCCTGACAATCACATCCATATATAGAAATTTGATAAGTGTGAAAGCTTTTGAACTTCCTCTCCATTTGCAATAAAAGATGTTTGACCTGAATGCCATCCAGTAATGTTTGTTTTCGTAACAGTCTGCTATGCTAGAGTTTGAAAATACAGAATTTACAAAAAAAAAAAAAAAAGTAGCCCCACTGAAACCAGCAGATTCTGGAATGGTCATAATGGTTATTCATTTTTATGCTGAAAAAAGCATCATAATACATGACAGCATGCAGGGAAAACAGGTCACAAAACCAAATTGAGTAATTGTAAAGAGTCATTCAGAACTGCTGTTCTGTGCAGCTTTAGAACAAAGCTAGCAATTTACAATGTATTTATATCAGAAGGAAAAAAAATGGTAGATTTGTAAAGGAAAATTCACAACTGATAATTGCCTGCCCCCCCCCAATTGTTGAGGAGGGGGCAGAAAATTATAATTAACCCCCCCCCCCCCCAAGAAAAGAAAAAAAAAACACAACAGCAACATTCAATTTGGAGCTCTGGTCTCTTCAACTGGAAGGTTAAGGGACAAAATCCATACAACACAGCTTGTTCATTGACATCTGGCTGAGCATAATATAGAAGAGGCAAAATCAAATTGCCTGAATACTACCAGTTAATTAAATGCGTCATAACCACACACCAAAATACTACATCAATCCCAACATGCCATTTATTTATTTCACATCAACATGCTGCATTGGTGCGTGCTGGAAAAAAAAAAAAGAAGGTTTGTTGCAGCACAGTGTTGTAAATGGGCCCTAAGAGTGATGTCAGAACACACAGAAGATATACCCCGCAGTATCATGGTAGAGAATTTGTATGGACAGGGGCCATGGGGTCGGATTACCTGTGTAGAGCTGTGAAGTCTAACATCCTCTCCACCTGAGACTGGGTCTCCAAGTCCCGTTTCCGCACTGAATGCTGTTGGATGCCAGATAGCGAGATGATCTCATAATCTGACAGCATGGAGAGTCCAGGTTTGCTGTGAATTAATAAAATGAAGGAAAAGTTAGACTTGCACAAAAATGAATTTCATAATTTTTCTGGCAAGATCAGTAAAAAGTTCCTGCTTTACACAAATAAATTAGCCACCAGTGGCTAAATGGTTAGCACTTCCACCTGGCAGTACTAGGGTCATTGGTTCAAATCCCAACCACGGCACCATCTGCATGGAGTTTGCATGTTCTCCCTGTGCCTGCATGAGTTTCCTCTGGGTACTGTGGTTTCCTCCCACCCTCCAAAGACATGCTGGTAGGTTAATTGGATCCTGTCTAAATTGTCCCTAGTATGTGTATGTATGAATTTGAGTTAGGGACCTTAGGTTGTACGCCCCTTGAGGGTTAAGGAATGATGTGAATGTACAATATATATGTAAAGCGCTGCGTAAATTGACAGTACCTGAAATAAATAAATAAAATAAATTAGCTGAGTTTTGCCACGTTTAACTGTTTTTTTTTACTAGAAAAAAAATTTTTTTTGCTCAAACAAAGTCCAAAAAAGCCGGTTTGCCACGATTTACAGCTTTTTTTTTTTTAGCATTAGAGCATTTTCAAAGCTAAAAAAAACTCCTCTAGAATCCCACTAGTCCTAGGGTTTTTTCCAGCCAAAAAATGCTGATTACAGTCTATGTGTGCATGGACACATAGGATAACATGCTGGGGAGTTTACTGGCTGTAGAAAAAAAAACAGCCGCTGTAAAAACGTCCAGTGTGCATGAGGGCTAAAACCTTTGTTTTTGATTGGTTACTATGCACAGCTGCCCCAGATTCTGTGTGCACCAGTTTTAGTAAATCTCCCCCTGTGGCCATAGCACAGTGTCGCTGTGTCAGAGGCGGCATTTACCATAGAACACAAGAATGAACATATGTCAATGTAGCTTCTTTCCCTCTTGGTATGTGAGAAATATAATAATACTAGCAAAAGTATGCCCTTTCCAGAACAGGAAAGGTTGGAGATGCAACAACTAAGGATGCACCAAAAATCTGGCGGCCAAAACATATCGGCCGAAAATAGCCCTATCTGCATTTTGTTGATAGGAAAATTTTAGCCAATACAGGTGCAGATAGGGGGTTGTAGGGGCGAAAAAAAGCAGGAGAGGAGAAGTGTATACAATGACCCTAGGTTCACATCTGTGTGGGTGGTGCCGCTGCGGATCCGCACGAAAATCTGTGCAGCCGCACTACCCGCACAGAGAGAAATGCATACCTGCAGGCGGGTGCCATTAGTTCTAATGGCACGCCGCCCGCACTGGAAACCGCAACTGTACTGGGAACCGAGGTTCCCGTGTGGGCTGCGTTTTCCAAAGAAGTGCAGGGACTTCTTCCCTGCGTGTCACGGGCACGGGAGTCCATTCAAATGGATGGGCTTCCATGCCTGTGCAAAACACAGACTGCACAGCCGCCGATATGTGAATCGGGGGTGAGATACCGCTAATTGTCACTGCGTTTTTAAATGTAATTACCGGCTTGTTTTCCCCTCACTATAGCTCCAAGAATGAGCTGTCATTCTCCCTGCCGCTAAAGGAAAATAAAATTTCCTTTAGCGGAGGGGAGAATGACAGCTTCGTCTCAGAACTATAGTGAAAGGAAAAAAAAAAAGCGCCAGCAATTACATTTAAAAACCAGCAGTGACAAGGAGCAGCCAGTGAGGGAGCATGAGTATATACACTGCTTCCTCACTATATACACTGCTCCCCTCCTGCCCCCCCCTCCTTGCACACACTGTCCCTCCACCCCCTTCCCCCTACAAAGAGGACCTGTCATTCATATGCTATCACATAGGGGACTATTGGTCCCCTATCTGACAGCAAAAAAATCATAAGTTAAAAAAATAAATAAAAATACAGATTAACGGTCAAAAAAAAAAAAAATAAAAAATTTGAGCCTTCCCACCTCCACATACATTTTGGTTTTCATCCACGTGCATTCTGAATTTTCGGTATCGGTTTTGGCACCAGAATTTTAATTTCGGTGCACCACTATAACAAACACTGCTAAAGAAGTACCTTAGCAGGCAGTATGTGCAGGAGAGGAGTGCAGAGAGTATGACAGGAGGCAGTATGTGCAGGAGAGGAGTGCAGAGAGTATGACAGGAGGCAGTATGTGCAGAGAGGAGTGCAGAGAGTATGACAGGAGGCAGTATGTGCAGGAGAGGAGTACAGAGAGTATGACAGGAGGCAGTATGTGCAGGAGAGGAGTGCGGAGAGTATGACAGGAGGCAGTATGTGCAGGAGAGGAGTGCAGAGAGTATGACAGGAGGCAGCATGTGCAGGAGAGGAGTGCGGAGAGTATGACAGGAGGCAGTATGTGCAGGAGAGGAGTACAGAGAGTATGACAGGAGGCAGTATGTGCAGGAGAGGAGTGCAGAGAGTATGACAGGAGGCAGTATGTGCAGGAGAGGAGTGCAGAGAGTATGACAGGAGGCAGCATGTGCAGGAGAGGAGTGCGGAGAGTATGACAGGAGGCAGCATGTGCAGGAGAGGAGTGTGCAGAGAGTATGACAGGAGGCAGTATGGGCAGGAGAGGAGTGCAGAGAGTATGACAGAAGGCAGTATGTGCAGGAGAGGAGTGCAGAGAGTATGACAGGAGGCAGTATGGGCAGGAGAGGAGTGCGGAGAGTATGACAGGAGGCAGTATGTGCAGGAGAGGAGTGCGGAGAGTATGACAGGAGGCAGTATGTGCAGGAGAGGAGTGCGGAGAGTATGACAGGAGGCAGTATGGGCAGGAAAGGCGTACAGAGAGTATGACAGAAGGCAGTATGGGTAGAAGTGCAGAGAGTATGAAAGGAAACAGTATGTGCAAGGGGCCATACAGCAAGCAGTAAGTGTAGGAGAAAAGTGTGACAGAAATAGCAGGGGACAGTATGCGAAGAAGGAGAATGTGGAGGTATGATAGGAGCAGTATGTGTAGGAAAGGAGTTCATGACAGGTGGCAACATTTACAAGAGAAGGGTATGAACAGTATGACAAGGGGCGGTATTTGTAGTTGAAGAACGTACGACAGGGGGCAGTATTTGCAAGAGAGGAGAGTGGAGGGTGTGACAGGGGGCAGTATCTACAGAAGCTGCTTATAAATTGTAAGACGGAATTCAACATGTGCCGGAGAAGAGTGCACAGAATATACCAGAATATATGTGCAGGAAATTGTGCAGTGTATGAGAGCAGCACAGAGGGTATTATAAGCACAAGAGTTGTACAGAGGGTATTAGAGAAAAATATGTGCAGGTGAGGTGTATGGAAGTTATCACAGTGGGCAGTACGTGCAGTAAAAGGGTCCAAGGGTATGACAGTAGACAATACAGCCCTGGCCAAAAGTTTTGAGAATGACACAAATATGAATTTACCTGCAAGGAAACATGTGCAGTCATCATTGCTTTGCACAAAAAGGGATTCACAGGCAAGGATATTGCTGCTTCTAACATTGCACCTAAATCAACCATTTATCGGATCATCAAGAACTTCAATTGTTGTGAATAAGGCTTCAGGGAACCCAAGAAAGTCCAGCAAGCAACAGGATCGTCTCCTAAAGTTGATTCGGCTGCAGATCGGGGCACCACCAGTGCAGAGCTTGCTCAGGAATAGCAGCAGGCAGCTGTGATTGCATCTGTATGCAAAGTGAACTTTTGGAAGATGGCCTGGTGGCAGCAAAGAAGCCATTTCTCTCCAGGAAAAACATCAGGGACAGACTGCTAGTCTGCAAAAGGTACAGGGATTGGACTGCTGAGGACTGAGATAAAGCCATTTTCTCTGATAAATCCCCTTTCCGATTGTTTGGGGCATCCGGAAAAAAAACATTGTCCAAAAAAGAAAAGATGAGCATTGCCATCAGTCCTGTGTCATGCTTCTCAGCCAAGGGAGAAGGCTCACTCACAGTTTTGCCTAAGAAGACAGCCATGAATAAAGAATGGTACAAAAACATCCTCTGAGAGCAACTTCTCCCAACCATTCAAGAACAGTTTGGTGATGAACAATGCCTTTTCCAGCATGATGGAGCACCTTGCCATAAGGCAAAAGAGATAACTAAGTGGATTGGGGGAACAAAACATCGCAATTTTGGGTCCATAGCCAGACCTTAATCCCATTGAGAACTTGTGGTCAATCTTTAAGAGGCAATTGAACAAAAAAAACAAAAACCCACAAATTCTGACAAAATCCAAGCATTGATTATGCAAGAATGGGCTGCCATCAGTCAGGATGTGGCCCAGAGGTTGATTGACAACATGCCAGGGTGAATTGCAGATGTCTTGAAAAAGGCTAAGCACTGCAAATATGGACTCTCTGCATAAACGTAACCGCTTCCCCTCCACCCCATAGCAGAAGTACTGCTACAGGGCGGCACGGCTGTACAGAACCATGTATATATACACATGATTTGCATTTCCAGGTGGGGGGCGCGTGCCGCCCTGGCGGCTACAGATGTCAATCACTGGGTCCCAGCCGGAGATTCCTCGCTGGCACCTGGCGATCACCAAGTAATACAGACAGGGGAGACACCTGTGTGTACAACACAGGTCTCTCTCCTACCAGCAATAACATGCTGCTGTGTATTTCTCTGCACAGCAAAGAAATACACAGCAGCATGTTTCCCTAGTAAAACACACACAGCACATGTAAAAGAGAACAGTTAACCCTTTGATCGCCCCAGAGGTTAACCCCTACCTGCCCAGTGTCATTAGTACAGTGTCAGTGCTTTTTATTAGCACCGATCACAATTAGTGTCATTGGGATGTCAATGGCACGTAGTCAGTTCCCCACCAGTGTCAGAATGCTTACCACAGTCCCACTATAGATCACTGATTGCCGCCATTACTAGTAAAAAAAAAAAAAAAAAAAATTCCAGTATATATACACCGCCATTTGTAGACGCTATAAAACTTTCACACACTGTTTTTAGGAAAAACATATAGAAGACTACATTTTGGCCTAAATTTATGATGAAATTTGATTTTTTTTTTTTACTGGATATGTTTTATAGCAAAAAGTCA